CAACTGAGCTCCTTGCCTCATCCCCAGTGCTGTCATCATTCCCCTAGGCTCATCTCTAGTGGGCCTGGTTTTATCCCCTCCATATATAGTTTAAAGTCCTCTCAAAAAGCCCTGCCAGCTCCTGGACTAGGATTCATTTCCTCCTGACCACCTCAGACTGGTCAGACCCATCAGCAAATATCAGGCCAGGCAACAAGTAAACCACCCCATGGTCAAAAACAATAAAATTCTTGCAATTGTACTAGCCTCTCAGCCATGAATTTATGAGATGGGTTTTCCCTCTCCTCTCAGTATCCTTCCCTGCCACTAGAGGAAAATACAACTTACACCTGCTCTGTCCATTCACCGCCCCAGTTCCATGAAGTCCTTTTTGATAGTCCTCAAATTTTTTTCAGCAACTTCCTTGCTGCTGACCTGAACTATCAATAAAGGATAATAATCAGAGGGGAGAATTGGACTGGGAAGTTTCCTAGAAACATCCCTGACCTGGGTCCAAGGGAGGCAGCACACCTCCCTATGGATAAGGATGGGCCAACATATAGGGCCTTCCATTGTTCTTAGAAGGGAGTTGTCTATGACAATCACCTTTCTTTCTTTCTTTGTGGAGGCAGTCTTAATGTGAGGAGTTGAACACTGCACCCCAGAGAACCTAGTTTGTGAACATCTCACTGCATCCTCCTCACTCACCTCTCCTACAAGTTCCAGAACCTCAAACCTATTATGAAAGGGGACCTGGGGAACTAAGGTAGGTTGGGATGGGGGTTGCCTTTGACACCAAGCTGGGACTTGTTTCCACTTCTCCTCTTAAAACCCTTCCTTCTGCTCTATGATGTCAGAGCAGGGGGCCCACCACTGTTTGGGGGATATCACCCTGGCATGTTCCTCACAATTTCAGCAGTTATTCCACCAATTTATCTCCTGCTTGCACTCTTTCATGCTCAATCTCTCCACCTTCTCCTTGAGCTGTGCCACCATACTGTGAATCACCCACCTGCTCACACATCATACAAATGAAATCCCTGCTGCCATTCACCAGCAGCAACAGGCTCAAGCACTCCTCGCAGCCAGAGACTTGAACCACAACGTTTTTAGGTGGACATGCTGTCTGAGTTGTCACATTCTTTCCTGCCAGAGCTTCCTACCTAACGGAGACCATGGCATCTGTTGTCAGGGAGGCAGCCGATAGGCGAGCTGGTCTTCTGAGTGAACAGAGATACTCTGCCCTCCTTGCCCACCCTGTGCAAACTGCCCACACAAACTACCACACCATACCTTTTTCCAGACACCATGCTGTGTTTCCCCATCCCGTTTGCGCCACTCCTGGGTTGCTGCGCTCCCTAGTGGAAAGGTTTTATACACGCAACGGGTGACCCGGCCTCTGCTCCTGGCTCCACCCTCAAAACGTCGGAGCACTACTATCATACAGAAGGCAATGGCGCCTAGCTGCTGCTCTCTGACATGGCAACCCCTCAGTCAGCCGAGGCAGCTGCTTCGGCATAGAATGCCTGCTCCAGAGCCGAGTATCTCACCAAAAAGTTACTCTGCACTTGAGCAGATGCATTCCAAGCTTATTCAGCTTGGAGACAAGTAGGCTCTGGGGAGACCTCATAGCAGACTTCCAGTACTGTACTCCAGTAAATGGAGCTTATAGGCAAAAGGAAAAACAACGTTTTACATTGGTAGAAAGCAACAGGACAAGGGGTGAATGATCTTCAACTGCCAGTGTCAGTTGCGAGGAGGAATTTTTTCTCTGAAAGAGCATTAGGCACTGGAACAGGCTGCCCAGAAGAGTTCTGGTAACCCATTCCTAGAGGTGTTAAGGCCAGGTTGGATGGGGCCCTGGGCTTGGGGTTGTAACTAGATAATCTTTGAGGTCCCTTCCAATCAAAGCCATTCTGCAGTGTGTGAACAAGAACATATGTTGTTCTACAGGTCCTCGTGACAACAACAGCTCTGAACCTAGCCCTTGAAAAATATTCCTGAGTGTAAAACACAGGATAGGCTTCACTTTATTTGTATTTTTAACACTCTTGTATTTTGTTGCCTTCAGCAACCACTGTACAATAGAAAGACAATTAACCCAGTCTTTGGCTTTGAGAAAGAAAGGCACCTAACGTTATGTTCAGTCATACACAAGCAGACCCCAGCTCTGTGGCCTGATTTGCACTACCTCCTTGCCAGCTCTTGAACTGCATGCTCAAACACAAATAAATACTCTAAGGTATACAAATAGTGAATTGGTCAGAAGTTTCAAGATTTTCTGCAGGGGTTGTTTTACTTGGGCTGACTCAAGCAAAGCAGTAGGCCACAAGAAAAGCTCTTGCAAGCGTGCAGCCAGGCAGAGGTCTAGGGAGAATTTCTCCAACACTCCAGCCTTTCTCTAGCGTAAGACACACATAGAAGATTGGGACCATCGCAGATAATCTCTTTGATTGAGGCCACGCCAGATACAACTTCACAGCCCACATATAAAGGTGCTTTAAAAAAATAATAAAGTCCCTATGTTACTCTATCCCAGGAAAACTGGCAGAAGTGTATGACAGTAGGTGTGACAATAGGTTGGATGTGGCTAAGAGCTTCCCCTACCTGCCTGCCAAGGTCTTCTGAACTTTGGAATCTTGACCATTTAGGTATCTCTCCTGCATTTATGTGCAGTGATCAAAAAACTGGAGTAAAGACTTACTTACCAACATATTCTTCTCCTTTGTGTATGAGGTCCAGCCTTTAATTACACCATTACATAGTATTTTTTGATCACTACAATACAACATAAAAAAGTGAACTCGGTGAGATCTGTTACCTTTTAACTGAGCAGCAATTCCACAAAGATTTTCTGTGAGTGACAGATTAATTCAAAAGATACAGTTTTATTTTGTAGGCATAGTGCTCATACTGGTTTCATTACAACTTGTGACAGAGATAAGGCAATCTTCCTCCTCTCCTCCAGATCACTGGATCTTACAAGCTGCAGAGTTCAACCTATCTCCTGCTGAACTCATCTAGGGTGCAGAGTAGGTGATGGGAAACTTGTGCAGCAGAAACATCAGAGCAGCTGCCTGCTGCATCATATCCCTGTGCTAGCTTGCCACCTGCCCATTAAAACTTCATAACTGGAACAAGAAAGGCAGTGTGGATGATACAAAGGAGGCTGGTCCACCCCATGAGGCATCAGCTCAAAGCATGCTATACCCTCAGGTACACTAACTCTGCCTTCTTCTGATAGGAAGGATGATTTTTAGTCTTTTTCCAGATGTGAACATCATCCACAGATACATGTTGATGCACAGCAGATACATCATCCACAGATACAGGTGAGCGCAGAGCCTGCACTTACTCTTTATAATTAGCCCACTGATGCCCCAGGTATCTGTTGGTAAAGTATATTGGAAAACATTATTATATGCTTTCATCTTTTCTTCAGCGTATAAAGGAAGCACATCTATCTGTTTTGCCACCTCCTGGGCGCTCCACCTCCCCACAACTGAGGAGCCTGAATGCTCCCAGCTCTGACGCAGCATTAAACTTGTATGGCAGGCACCTCACTCAATTTGGCCAACTCTTCCTGTTTCAGCAAAGTAAACATTTCATCTCTGAAAGTCATGAAACCTCACTCCAGTTTGGTGGGGGAATTTAGAAGCATATTTAAAGCTCTCAGATGCCTCACCTCTGGGCACAAATTTGTAGCCAAGCATATTTAGGATTGCTATTAGAGAAACAACCAGGCAATAGTGGGAAAACAAGCAAACCGAAGACTCTGAAAGTCTTTTTAAATGCATTAAGCTAGGTGGAATCAGGTGGGAAACACATTAGGTATATTAGGTCTATATCTGAGTAGCACAGTAAGATTAGTTATCCCAATTCACAAAAAAAAAAAAAAAAAAAAAAAAAAAAAAAAAAAAAAAAAAAAAAAACTAAAATGATGGAAAAGTCTAGTATAAATTTTCTACAGAAAACTGAGAACATTTGTGATTATTTTAAAATGAAAGAGACAACCCCAAAAGAGAGAGAGAAGTACAGCTATGTTTATAATGGTAGTACATTTTTCCATGTAAAGGGTCATATATATACTACTTAACTGAAGGTCCACTGGTGTAACCATGACATGAGCATTATACTACAAAGTATTCATTTTGTATGAGAGTTTACATAGTAATGTACACTGTATCAGCCTAGATGCTTGGGAATGGAGCTAGAAAACAAAATAGTACGAAGTAGTGGACCACCTTCTTAGGGGAAAAAAATAAAAATAAAAAAGATCAAGCTACTGCCATTTACCAGTTCAGTCTCAACTCTACTGATATAATAATATATGCACAGAAAGCCAGAGTAAGTGCCAAATACAGAGCTTTAATTCATTGCCTAGAGTACTCAGCAACATAGGCACAATGTTACATTTACACACATACCCATTTAATCAAACACGACATTACTGGATTTAAAAAAAAAAAAAACTAAATAAAACAAAGTAATGTCTGAGATTTAACCCAAAGTTTAAAGTGGGCACGTTCAACATACAGCCCAGTGCTGCCCTGGACAGCTAGTAGCGCAGCCCCACAGGATTGCAAAATTTTAATATCATAATGTATTTGATTAGTGTTTCTGCCAATACCAAGAGTTTCTCTGAAGCATGAATGCTGATAGGGACACCATTTACTTTTCAGAAGGAAGGTAGCTAAGTCAAGGTAAAATGCTGAAAAGATTTTATGATTTGTGAAATGACATTAAGTTACAGAATCAAAAGGAGAATTTGTGCCAGAACATGAAGATGAAAACTGGCTCACAGATTTAACACTTTCAGTGGACTTGTTTAACTCATTCAAATGAGTATTCACATGTCTTCAAGGTGAATGCTATGTTTCAAACCATAACAGTATTTGAAATGAAGTTTAAATTACAGCAAACTCAACTCATGGCAAATAATTCTACAGTTTGATACAACGACTAAACACAGTACTGTGAATGGGAAAAAAAAAAAAAAAAAAAAAAAAAAAGCAGCTTTCCTTTCCATTTTGATAAACAAATTTGAGAATAAGTTTCAAAATGCCTAAAAAAAAAATAAAAAAATAAAAAAAATCAGTTTTTGTACATTTGCAACTAATTTTCATCAACACAAATACAATTACCTGTGGATTGTCAAACTGAACATATTAAGTTGCAACCAGATAAACTGCTTTTGAAGGCATTGGGGTACATCAGTGCCAGCCTTTTTTACGTACCACCTCCTGAAAGTACAAGGACAGGCAATCCAGCATCAGAAGCCAAGCACATGGGGCAGGAGGCTGGCGTGAGTGAATGGGGATTTCTGAGATCCGAGGTGCTAAAAGAAAGTTCTGGCAGCAAGGGCAGGCAACATGCAAAGACTACAGGGATGGTCTTCACCTTTCTAGGGAAAAAAGTCATGTGGCCAAAGCACAGTTAGAATTGAAGCTGGCCAATATAATGGAGAACAATAAAGATGTTTTTTTATTTGTTTGTTTTTTTAATATGCTAACAAAAGGAGGGCCAGAGAGGACATTGGTTCATTACTTGATGAGAATGGTCACCTTACAAACAAGGGTATAGACTAAGGAAAAACTTCCAAGACATTCTTTGCCTCTGTCTTCAACACTGATGATAGGTTCTAGCTCCCCAAGTGCCCCAAGTCAGAAGACTATGACTGCAGTAACAGCCAACTCCCAGACAGCGTATACAGGATTTGCTGCTACACCTGGATAAATACAAGTTCACAGAGCCTGATGGGATTCATTCCTGGGTATTCAATGGCTGATGTCATCACAAGAACTCCCTTAGTTATTTTTCAATAGTCTTGGGAATGTGGAGAGGTCCCAGTTGACTGGAAGCTGCAAACACTGTTCCAATTTCAGGAAAGGCAAGAAAGAAAACCTTGAGAATTACAGGCCTGTCAGAGAAAAGTGTTCTAGAGCTATTGAAGAACAGCATAGTCACTGAATCACAAGGTTGGAAAGGACCCACAAGATCATCTAGTCTAACCATGCTTCCATTACCACTGCTACCACAGGCTACTAAACCATATCTTGTAGCTCCTCATCCAGATGCCTCTTGAACACTGCCAGGGACAGCAACTCCACCACCTCCCTGGGCAGCCATTCCAGTGCCTGACCATTCTGAGAGAAGTTTTTCCCCATGAAAATCTCAAATCTCCTCTGATACAACTTCCCACCCTCAGGCAGATCAACACCCCCTCCCAGCTTGATGTCATCTGTAAACTTACTGAGGGTACACTCAATCCCTTCATCTGGGTCATCAATAAAGATATTAAACAAGATGGGTCCCAGTACTGACCCATAGGGGACACCACCTGTAACAGGTCACCAGCTGATCTTAACTCCATTAACTACTAACTGCTGAATGCCAGTTCCTTACCCAAAGAAGGGTACACCTGTCTAGACCACAGGCAGCCAGTTTCCAGAGGAGAATACTGTGAGAATACTGTCAAAGGCTTTGTTGAAATCTAGGTCATCAACAGCCTTTCCCTCATTTACCAGTCTGGTCATCCAGTTGTAGAAGGAGATGAGGTTGAAAAAGAATGACCTGCCTTTCATGAACCCATGCTGACTGGGCCTGTACCCCTAGATGCCACACACATTGTTGCTTAGTGAGATCTGGGGAAGCAGGGTAGGCAGGCAAGGGGAATTCCCATGACGCCAAGTCAGGACTCTCATCCAACCCTTCTCATCTTTCAGGGCCATCTGACCGTTCGACCAATTGATCAAAGCCAACACAGGTTCATGAGAGGAAGGTCCTGTTTAACTAAGTTTCCTTTTATGACAGCTCTTCAAGAAGGAAGTCTTAAAGGCACAGGAGCTGGCTGTCCCCCTGAGCTGCAAAATGAATCAAGGGGAAAGAAGACCAGTGCGGATGAACAGGAGCTATTCTTGAGGCTCCAGGAGAAAAAGAGAATCTACCTCCTGTGGAAGAAGGGACGGGCAACTCAGAAAGAGCACAGAGAAGTTGTTAAGATGTGTAGAGAGAAAAATCAGAATGGCAAAAGTCCAGCTTGAACTCAACCTGGCTGCTGTGGTTAAAAGGAACAAGAAACCCTTTCACAAATACATCAACAGTAAGAGGAGGACTCAGGAGAACCTTCATTCTTTACTGGATGAGGCTGGGAGTGTGATCACTGAGGATAAGGAAAAAGCAGAGGTTCTGAATGCCTTCTCTACCTCTGTTTTTAAAGGTCAGATTAGTTATCCTCAGGGTACTTCACTCTCTGACCTAGTAGTCTCAACTGGAGTGCAGACAGAACTCCCTGTGATTAGGGAGGACGCAAAGACTTACTACTCCAGCTGTACTGTCACAAGTCCACAGGGCCAGATGTGATTCACTTGAAAGTGCTGAGGGAACTGGTGGAGGGGATAGCCGAGTCGCTTACTACTATCTATCAGCGCTCCTTGTTGACTGATGAGGTCCCAGAAGACTGGAGGCTTGCCAACGTGACTCCCATCTATAAGAAGGGCTGTAAGGAGGATCTGGGGAACTACAGGCCTTTAGCCTGACCTTGTTGCCAGGGAAGGTTATGGAGCGGATTGTCTCAAGGGAGATCACGCAACATGTGCAGGACAACCAGGGGATCAGGCTTAGCCAGCATGTGTTCACAAAGGGCAGGTCCTGTTTGACCAACCTGATCTCCTTCTATGATCTAGTGACCTGTCTGGTAGACAAGGGAAAGGCTGTAGATGTAGTCTACCCAGATTTCAGCAAGGCCTTTGACACGGTCTCCCACAGCATTCTCCTGCAGAAGCTGACAGCCCATGGCTTGGACAGGTACGCTCTTGGCTGGATAAGGAACTGGCTGGAATTCCGGGCCCAGAGAGGTGGTGCATGGAGCTAAATCCAGCTGGCGACCTGTCACAAGTGGTGTTCCCCAGGGGTCCTGAACCGGGCATTGATGCATTAGTTTCACAAAAGCAAGATTAAATGTCCCCCTAGTTTCACGTCTTTGTTGCCCTTTTAGAAAATATTTTAGTTTAAAAAAAAGAATTTTAGCTACTTGTGTACATTAACTATATTTTATATGTGGCCCAAGACAATTCCTCTTCTCTCAGGGTGGCCCAGTCAAGCCAGAAGGCTGGACACCCTTGGTTTAAAGTTTAAAACAACCCTCCCTACACTTGAAATAAACATTCTAATTTTCTTTCAAGGCCTGGAGTTGCCTCACATAGCACTTCGTAGAGAAGTAGAACTGAGTTTTGCATACCTTCTCTCTCCAAATAGCAAAGATGCAAGCATCTGCATGCTGGAAAATCCAATTATCCAGAACCCGAGATGAGCAGAACTAGAAAGTTTCACAGTCACAAAAACATCCTTGTTGTCCTCCTTGCCTGCAGAGATATCCATTGAATATTAAGAGTTCTGTAGCTTCCATGCAGTATTTTTATTTTCATCGCTCTATATGACAAGAATTCCAGCATCCCTTAATTGATATGCTTTGACTTACTGTGTTGAACTTATCTCATGTTTATTTTAATTTTTTTCAGCATTCAGCAGCATCTTCCAGTGGTGCAAGAGTGTTGCTTCCAGACTCTCATGCCAAATGAGGTACTCAGAGGGAAGACTTCACTACATCATGGGCATTTTGCTGGACCATACAGCCATTGAAGTTCATTCTCACTTTTCATATAGTTGCTCCTTTTCCTCATCACTTGCAGACCGGCAGATTTTGCAGATTAGGTGAACTCTTAATTCAAAGATTTCTCTCTTCTCTACAGTAGCTCTTTTCCTGGATAGCCATATTAAATTGAGGATTATTCATAGCCTCATGCGGTCATTTTCAATTACTTCTTGAAGTCATAGCTAAGGCAGCAAAAGCTTTTTCAAGATGGTTTTTGGTGTAAGAACTTAAACAACATACTGCTAGCCTGCCCACCTCTCATCACTGGGTCATTTCAAACAATGATTAAGTGACAAAAGCATCTGAAAGCAACAAGCAATTCTGTGTGTGCTCCATTTGACCACTCAGTTTGATGCCTACCCTGTTGAAAGTGTCCCTTGAAAAATGGAGCAAGGAGGACAGTCTGCTAACACACGCCGCATCTCTGGTTACTTGGCCAGGTAGTCTTTCATCTAGTGATGCATCCACCCTTCCAGCTGGTACTCCTTCCCATAAGGACTTCCAGCCCTCTGCAATGCAGGACGACTGTAACACTCTTATCCCACATGTGGAATTTCTATCCAAAAATGCAGTATGGAAACAACTGGTGGACTGAAGGGGAAAAGCAGAGATGTATCATGAGATACATCCAAGGTAACAGAACAGCAATAGACAGCAAGAGGTCTGAATTCTGGGTTTTGACAGGTATATTTGATTAATTTTTGGATGGATTACACCATTAGTGGGTGAAGGAAATACAAAAGATATGTGTTTAGATTTCAGTAAACTATTTGATGACGTGTTCCATGAAACTATTAGAGGATAAATTAGTTCATATTAGCTTGAAAGAAGGATTACTAACACATGGGCTGCAAAACTGGCTAGAAAACTGAAGGAAAGGGAAATGATAAACAGCAATTAATCAAACTGGAAGTAGTGAGGATTTTTTTCTTTTCTCAAATGTTAGTACCAGCATTATTAACTCACATGCATTATGCAATCAAGGATTAAACTCACAAGTGATAGTAAATCAACTTAATCTATAGTTTCAGAACCAGGAATGATAGGTTATGGTACCATTTTAACATTCACAACAAAAAAAAATGATAAGCCTGGAAGTAAAGCTTCAGTGTTCAAGTGCAAGAGAAATATGATGTTCCATTGTTTTTGAGCTTATGCATTTTGAGTGACCTCTGCATTCAGCATGTTAAGGTTTTATACTGGCAGCATAGCAACTGTTACCCTAGGATGCCATCTAACAACTTACCACATTACTATCTTACCAAAACGCCATCTAGCATTAGTTACTGAATGTCCTAGGGGGCTTTATTACAAAAAAATGGAAGGAATTAAAGGAAATGCCACTGTTCACTTGCTGGCCACTAGAACACATACATACCATTTTGACTTTCCAGAATTCTGATATATGATTTCTGAAGACCATAAGTAGTTACGACATTGGCTGCATCAAAAAGTGCCTTCAGGAACGGAGATTAGTAATGTTTCAGCAACAGCCAGAAAGATGACAGTTTTCTGACTCCCTCTCAAGATTTCCCTAGCTACCTTAAGTTGCTACTTATCTCCCATTCAAACAATAACCAAAAACCTATCTTGCTAAGCTACCCAAATATGCAAGTAGGTCTAGGTGAAAGACATGAAGCGAATCATTCAAATAGCTTGGATCGCACCACTACTCAGAGCAGTCTCCATCATTAAGAAGAGAATAAAGCAGGAAATTCTTCGACAGCTCCTTGGAAGCATTTTTTCTGCTACATCAAACAATTTTGAGTTGATAGTGATACTACCAACTCCAGAAGAGCTCCAGGTAGAAAGTTTATACAAATCAAGCACTATCACTAACTATCCCTCTCTCAACCAGGTGGCAAGAGAGCTCCCTCCCCAAAACCCTCACCAGCCCATCAGTATCTCCCAGCCCCCCTTACAGATAGGCCTCCTCAGTTTCTCCAAACACTGACAGGTGCACATCAGCTGCTGTCAGACTCACAATACCTGCTACAGTTTTACTAGATCAAATAAGGAAAAAGCCTTACAAAAATTAAATACCTCAGAAGATGCTAATGCTGAGAAGATGGCATAGCCCTCAGCCTACTAGCAAGGAGAACTTCAGCATTAACAAGTATTAAGGGCAGCACCAGGACATCTTATTTTGTGCAATATCTTACATTAAGTTTAAATTCTAAGCTACTCCTCTAGTTTTTTTTCCCTTTATTACTACCTAGCAAAGATGAAGCATTAGAAAATTATGGAGATAATGACTAAATGGGATGACTCTCAGAGAGAGTCATGTTTCACAGGCATAGTAGGGGTTCATAGATGATAGCATCTCCAGGGGAGTTTGCAAGAATATTGAGTCACCCTTTGTTCCTATCATGGAACAAAGAATGCACAACATGCTTCCACAAAAATCACGTTTTTTGTTTGTTTGTTTGTTTTTTGTCTTTCCCTGGTCAACTACAGTTTGAAGGAAAACATGGATCACCACACAGGGCTCTACATAGCACAGAAACTTCCATCAATTCTGGTCATGCTGACATTCTCTGAACATAAGCAGCCTGACAACCAATAGAGCCTCTGAAATCTTTATGAATGTTTGTCCTGTGAAGTAACAGAACTGCTTCTGTAAAGATCTTTTTAATACAAGGGAAAGTATAGCCATCTACAAGAAAAAAACTGACTCACGTAGCTGGTGATGAAGGTCTCTGGCTGTAGAGCACTTCTTCCTAGAAAAGGACATTCAGGCAGAAGATATTCTCCTTCCAGAAGCTAACCCTTAAATGAGCCCAGAGGGTGGGCAGAGAGGATAGACCCTGGGTCCACCCCTTCCGGTCATGTAGGAAGCACAGGTAAATTGTTTGCACCTGTGTTTCCTGGGTCAAGCATGCCCCTTCCCTGGGTGCTCATTCATTCAGGCTGTGACCTAAAAGTTCCCTTACAATGACGAAGACCCAACTTCTAAGATCAATGGGGTAGTAGAATTTCCTGTTAGTTAGTTAGTAGGAGCTAACTATTCAGGCAAAGTCCTTGATCTCTCCCTCTCTTCTCTAATACCCTCTTCCCATGTATTTGCTTAAGGCTTTTCTTTGGAGTCCTGAAAAACCTTTTGAGCTATGGCAGAGTCAGTGAGAACAAATGGGTTGTGAACCGTTTCAAGTTCATGACTTCATTTCAATGGCTTGTGATTTCCTTAGTGATGCCAGCTATTCCTCCCAATCCTATGCTATTTTGGAGCAATTTTCCTGCCTGCTTACAAAGTACCATCCCTCTTAATAAGGCTCTGTAGGCTGTGAGACTTCTTAAGTGTAAAATGTTTTCGCAACAGTCACTTTGTAAGCACTTCCCTCAACACACTTTGTTTTCCTTAAGTCTTTAGATAAGAGCATTTTGTGATGTTCGGGTGGTCTCTGATACTGTGTTCCTTCACCTAATCTCCTTAGCTCACTCAGATTACTGCCAGATTTCTTAATTCTCTCTCATGCCTACTGAGCTGATGCAGTATCTCTGGGCTAGTACCATGCTGCAGCCTGTCAAACTGTGATGGAAGATGGCCCTGAGTCCTTCCTCGACTTAAACTGCAGCTGTCATTTTCCATCAGTGCCTACTGATGTAGCTTAGCTCCTGTTGGCACAGTACCCTGTACAGTTTTTTTTTAACTGTGTTTTTTGCTGAAGGTCTCCACTTTTCACAGAACTTACACTTTTAACTCCACTCATTTCCTTCCCCTCCTCCCCCTCCCAAAGAAAAAAAACAAAACAAAACAAAACAAAACAACAACCTACAAACGTTGAGTTTTCTTTTGCTCCTCTAACTTTTCTCCTGTGATTCTGTTCTCTCTTTGCTTAAGGTTCCAGGAAATCATCTACACTCACATACATTGCCATACACATTGCTTTCACCTCAACAGCCTCCTATATTAAGCCTTTATTATTAGGAGGAGAAAACAAAAAGATGCAGAAGAATTTTTTCCTAAGTTATGAGCATTAGATGGCAAATATTTTCAATAAGATACAGCTAGCAGCAACTTCTCCTAGCATTAGATTGTACTCTTAGGATGACACTTCATCAACACTGGCTTGGGAGCACTGTGCCAAGTAGGGTTGGTACCACATCCCAGGCTCCCATTAGAGTACTGGACACACGTATGACATTATAATGAGATGCAGCAGGTGGATCTAAACTGGGGCAGGGGGTCCAGAGAAGAAATTAGATGTTACCATTCAGCATGCTGAGCACAAATCACAGGACACCAGATACATCATCACTGAAAAGTCTCTGTAGGAGTAGAGGATGAGAAGAACAGCATGGGAGGGTCTGATGAGTGATGAAGCTCTGCTATGCTTTATTAATTTATTGCATTTTGCCTGTATAAGAAGTGGAAGAGAAAGTGCACATTTGTTGGAAAGTGCCCACAATGGACTGGCCATGTCCCATATTCTACCAACTTCTTTACCCTTCTTTTCCTCACCCCTTTCATTTATATGTCTTCATCTCACTGACAAAATAAAAACAGCAGAAAAACTCTTCCAGAGCAGAAGCTGTATCATTGGCTCTGTATTTGTCTAAGAGCTACCTTAGTCACAGTGTTGCATTTCTTTTTCAGTATACTGCAAGATAAATGTTTCTCAAGTCTAACTATTTTCCAGAAGGCCGTAATGCACATAGATCTATATAAAGAGAGTGACATGCCTTGGCAGGCTGACATCCACCCAAGGCTGGCTTCACTGTCTAAAGCTGTTAAAATCAAGTAATACGTTCCCTCTGGTCTTCTGTCTGCCGTAAGCACTTCATACAACAGGTAAATGCAGAGGAAGCCTTAACGTATTTCTCCTTGCATCTCTCATGTTACTGGGAAGATGGAGTGCAAGTCTTCCTTAACAGAACATAGAGCATAACCCAGGTCTTCTTGCTGGCACACGGGCATGAGGACCCACACATCAGACTCACAGAAGTGCCCATTGTCTAAACTGCTGCACAAACAGAAATCCGGGCAATAATCTTTTCCCCAGCAACCTTGAAATATCACAGACGAGGCAGATGAAGCAGAGCGGGACAACAGTGGGACATAGTCAAGCCAGTTCAGACCAAAGACTGGTATGCTGTCTACAGTTATGATTTGCTTTCTTTTATTTTTTTTTGCCCCCTTTTGCTCTCCCAGCATCAGGCCTAAGTTTGGTGTTTCTCCCTGTTCTCAGTATGCTAACCTCAAAGCCCACATATGCAGTGTCCCAAGCAGTTGTGACACAGGACTGTTTTCATGAGGCTGAGCAGAGTTGGACATAACCCTGCTACCCTCCTCTGTCCATCTATCTGAATGTTACTCCCCCCATTGTGAGCACATGCTGCTCTTCCCTTCACACACAAATGTCTGTGTTGGCAAAGCCCGTTGTCAAATGGGACAAAGGGTGGCCAGTTCTGTACATTCTGGCCTTCCTCCTCCCTCCTCAGAAAAACATTCTGCACTTCATTCAGGCTGGGCTGGCCTGGCTATTACATGCAGTGTCCCCTTTCTGGGCACCATGATCCTTGTGTTCATTTGTACAAGAATGGACAGTGAATGGGGCCAGTTAAATGGGTCAGTTGCTAACGTTTTGCTG